AGGATCCTTGACACCAAGGCCTAGCAAATGAGGTCCAGATCTGGCGGAGCTGGGCGGTCCTGGTAGGAGGTTGCCCACCAAGAACTCCATCCACCACGGCAAGATGGCCACCAAATCCACGATGGCATCACCTCCCGAGTTCCGCCGTGAGTGGCAGCACGCCGGTGGCGCACCGGTGGAAACGTGCAGTGGAGCCGTACCGTGCCGCGTGGTGGATCGTGCGCGGAAAACCCCAGCAGGTGTCCCTTCAGCCATGTCAAAGGAAGAAACTGGGTGGTTCTTGGATGGTAATTAAACACACAAGATCAGAAAGGAGCGCTCTCAGCGGCGCGTTTTTGAATAGTTCTCAATCAACCACTTTAATATATACATGTGCAAGGTTAATCAAAAAAGAACACACCGGAACCCAAACCCATTGTGCCACTGAAACGCCACTTTGAGCTTCTCTCGGCTACCTAAAGAGATTGCCAAAGACCAAACGACTTCTTCAAACTGTGAAGCAACAGCTTGATGAGCTGGTTAAAGGGCGATTCTGGTCCAACCCCGCCCCGGGACCCTCGCTCTGTCGAACGATCGGGACCGCGGCCGCGTCGCGCGTGTTCGCGGGGCGCGTGGGCGGGGCGGGGCGCGCCCTGAGCAACAAAGCCTGCGCACCTTGCAAGGCGAAGTGCGAGACTCGCCCCATGGAGGACAAGGGCTTCACCACCATGTCTTCGGTGCAGAAGATCTGCACGTTCGCCTCGACCACCTCCATGCGGACGAAGGGCGAGCAGAAGAGCTTGGTAAAGTAGTCCAAGCTGAAAACCATGATACCTCAGTGACAGCAGCAGCCTAGTAATCCTAGTAGCCCATCTTGAACAAATGTATCTTCTGCTGCGTTCAAGAAACTATGACCTAAGACCGTATAAGATCATATAAGATGATATAAGACCAGCTCCAAGTCAGTGAGTCCAATGATTCCCAGCAATTCATGTTCTTCCATGTTCTTCATGTCTTTCTCGTCCCTGGCTCTCGCTGTGTTCCGGCTCTCGCTTGGTCCATCCAAGTCCGACATCTCTGAACACCAGGAAATGGCCGTCTTCTCATGTTTTCCGTCATTCCCCGACCAGGTGCAGAAGCTGTCAAAGTCCGTTGAGCACTCCCCTCTCATCTGATCTAAGCCTACCTCATCGCACAGGTAGGCAGCCACCTAGGCTTCCAAACCGGTCGTCAGGGTCGGGGCATGACTCATGTGTTGCTTTTGCTTCGGACGATTCAATTCATAGACACCTTTCCAAGAAGGTATGCGGGCCAGCATCAACTTTAGCCTAAAGTCTCAGCTTGGCTGTCTCACTCCAGGAGGATGCCAAACCACTGGTCTAAGGTAAGTCAATGAAGCATGAGGAAGCAACCAAGGTGAGGGTTTTCAATTGGAGATAAACTCCCGGTAGAACATCCATTCTAGTGGATGGTTGAAATCCCCACTAAACCACCCATTCGGGGGTTTTGGTGATAAGCTCACGTGAACCGTCCTGAATCGGGAACGGCATCCGATCATCCCCTGCCTCGGGGAACATGATCTTCGTCATGTTTGCCACGGTCACCAGCATCACAAAGTAGAACCAGCCTCCACAAAACCCAACACACACGGGTGGCTGAACCCGTTTCGGTTTCGAAAGGACGATGAGACGGATCCGGATTCCTGCGTTCTCGGGCGAACTGCTTCTCAAGAAGTGTTCGCCCCAGATTCGATCAGCAGCTGCTTCCGTAACGATATGCTAGAAGAAACATAGCAAAACTGAATAACTCCTGGGTAACGGCTTGGATGCGATGTCTCTTTGCCAAGATGTCTGAGAGATTCTCAGAGATACTGTTGGCATCTGGTGGCCATCACCCCATGCATGAACCTGGCGTTTTCCACAGTTGAGTCTACAAAAGCACACGACCACGCCGACGACCGATGAGCCTGGCGCCCTCCTCCAACGCTGTTTGGGTTCTCGCCACCGATAACTAGCTGGTGAAAACCACACTCGATCCGCCACAGCCGTCGTCGCGGTCGTGCGTCGTCCCGCGCGCCTTTGGCCACCTTGCTACTCTCCTCACCCGGCGAGAGAGCAGCAGAGAGAGTCATTTCGGCGCGAAGGAGGCCTTTTCTTTTGGAAGGGAAAGCGTTGGTTCCATCTGCAGACAGTCCGTCCCATGTGCCGCTGCAGTGAGCCTTGCTACCCACTACACTCCCCCCCCTCAAAAAAAAAGGTGCTACAAAAGGTTCAGGCATGGAAATGGTACAGATCGGCCATGCACACGGCCACGTTCACTGATTCTTTTCCGGCACGGCCACGTTCACTTACCGCAGGGCCCCCCCAGTTTGGGCCACCCAAACCCGCCACCAAGGCCAGCAAGTCCTCGTGGCTCAAGGTGAGATAGATTCGCTCGGCCAAGGACAAGCGGATTTGCGGATGGCCCTTTCTCAGCAGTTCCCACTGGATGTCGCTCCAGGTGCAAAACGGCTTTTTGAGGTCTCCAAAGAAGTTCACCTGGATGTCTCCATGAAGTGACTGGTTTTGGTTCAGAAAAAAATGCATGTTCTGCGTGTTGCCAAATGTAAGACAGCACCTTTAACATCCTGTCTTCTAGCTGTTGCTTCTGTAGTATCCAATAGTTGGCTTAATGAGCCCAATACGGATACGGTGAACCAAATCAGTAGCCTAAGTAAGTGTGCATTTGACAAAACCCATGGGAGGCTAAAGAATGTCTAAGGATGTCGGCGAATTGTCAGGCTAATTACTATTAATTACTAGTATGCATGTCATGATGTATGTGTTGTTTTTCTTGTCTACTTTTCACTGACCTCTTTGCCCACCTTATTTCTTTGTACTTGCAGGAGTCTGGTTTCCACCCAACTTGCAAGTTCTGAAGGGGCACAAGATGTGTCCCGTTCTAGCTCTTGTGTCCATCTCTTCCACCAGTTCCCGCCTCGAGGGCTCCGGGGAGCTGAAACGTATGCATCAGCTTGATGGACATGTTGCGCACAGCCACCAAGGGAAGGTCCATACGTGAAAACCGCGACACCAAGTAGTCATAGAGCTGTCCTTAGGAGAACTCGTTGAATTCGGATTTGGGCCAACGGGGTCCTCTTGGACCGGCGCCCTTGTTGGACCTGACGGGGTTTGGGCGGAGCGGTCCGGAACCTGGGCGTGACATCTTCAGGGCATGGAGTCGAGGCTACTAGGCCGGCCGCCCCCATGTAGCAGGTCGCATCACGGAAAGCATGGAGTGCAAAGCATCAACGTCGCTGCACAAGACATTGAAGGGTTCCAAAGTGTTGAACGAACGTCTTCGTATCCGAATGAGACGTCTTTTGATGTTCCGAAGGCGCTTGGACTCGTTCATCCTCCGATGTCTTGTGATCGCATCATGTCCCTTGACTTTTTGATCGAGCGTGGACACCGAAAATGGAGTGAAGACTGGATGTCTGTGGCCTCAAGGGCGCGAAGACTGCACAAACATATATTTGAGGAGTGTGGTACACTGTGTACTCCCGAAAACTAACATAGACCCTGACAATGGCCCCCTGGAAGATTGTTTTCCTCTACCAACCAGTGGTTTTCAGGGTCCATGTTAGTCTTCCAGGGTGTAACCATCGAACCGCCAAGCCCATTGTCATTGGCATCCCTCCAAAACACATCCTGGCTTGGCGGCGTGAAAACACTTCAACGAGTATCAATGAGTCCTCGTTTGGCTTCCTAGGTGAGACAAGGCCCTGGTTGAGACGGTTTAAACGGTTTGACATGTCTTTCAGCCAATCTGTTCAAAGATTTGGATTACATCGGAGTCGCTCGGTTCAAACAGTTTAAAGCTTGCATGTGTCTAAACACATGTTTTAAACATCGCCACTGCACCAGTGGAAGCGATGGTGTTAAGGCATGGAGTATATATATAGCTGTTCACTCCACTCCGACGTATCTGGAGCATGACAAACAATATGACTTCTCCGGTGACCGCTGGCGTCCTTTCAGCACAAAAAGGTGGCGTCAACAGCTTCAAAGGTCCGGACCCTTGAAGGCTGGACAGGCTCAAACCTGTTTAAGCCCCACCCGGTTGCGCAGGTGGGGCGCAGGTCATGGGGCGCCGGTCGGTGTCCTTTTGTTCCTTCTTGGGGGCACCACAAGGATCCGTGCCCTCCCTCGCAGCTCGGGTCGCGAAAGAAGTAGATCTCGAAGATCATCTGCTTCGATGGCGCGAAGGGCAGCGGCCGCGCGAAGGGCGGCAGGGACCCCGTCTCGACTGGCGCGGTGCCATCGTACTCGAAGTTGTAGGCACCCAAGTTGTAAAGCTTATTCCCTGGCGCGGCTCGGCTGTTTCGAACGAAGACGTGACACGTCAGCACCCGCACCGCTTCGGTCGGCCCCCCGCGGGTCGAAGCGGCCCGGCTGAATCGGCCAAGTGGCGGGGAGGATGCTCCTGGCCCGTTAAGGACTGGGCCTCGGTGCCCTCCATGGCACCGAGCTCTTGAGCCCACTTTTCAACAACGAGGTCCATGAAAATTCCAGGAGAGGTGAAATACGGTGAAATTGGGTGTCCAACGACGCTGCCCAAAGTAGACGAAAGATGACGAAACTGCGCCTCCCTTTCGGAAGAGCCACAGTGAGGGGCGTACTGACCCCTCACCGAAAAAAGTTCCGCGAGATTTAGGGAGAGTCAGCGGAAGCAAGTGTCACATACAAGTTATCATTCATTTTGCACCGTCTCTTTATACCGTTATACCCAAATTCATGTGGCAGTTCCGTTTTATTAGCATGCCCAAAAGAGTGCAACAACTCATTCACCAGAGATCTGAACTCACCAATGCAGCCGTCCTCAAAAACCCAAAACGAACGTATGGCAAAGGCCCAGAGGCTCGCCCGTCTTCCACTATCACACCGCAAGTGATGTCGGCAGGGTAACCAGGGGAACCCATCATATCCCCCTAACCCCATGGGCCCGGCCCAGCCGGACCGGGTGGATCCGAGCTCCCAGACTGGTTGTTGAGGATCACTCCAGCCACCGCCATCACGGCCACCTCGAGGTTTCGGGGAACCAGACGAGGAAGGAAGGAAAACGAAGCAGGGTGCCGAGCGCCAAAGGAAGAAGAAAGTGGATGAGTCATATGCAGGGAGCAATTTGATCCAAATATGGATGGATGTGGATGAAGTCTTCAGATCTACCAACTTCTTCAGTTTGTGACCTTTAGAGGGCCCCTAAAGTAAGTGACCCTTTACATGCTTTTTGGGCCGGATCCAAACCCCGGACCCGATCGGAATGCTACCCTAAACCCCGCCGGCCGAACGTCGACGCGTGGGCACGAACGAGAGATCCATTCCATGTGTGTGTTGTATTTGATGTGTTTGTAGTTTATAATATGGGCTATTTCTATCTATGTCTTATTTTCTTGTAGCATTTCTGATTGTTGTTGCACTGAGAGAGACAGAGAGAGAGAGAGAGAACAAAAGAGAGAGAGAGAGAGATTCAGGGTGGTTTGCCTGTGACGATTGTACTGCAGGCAACGGCCTTGAAAAGAAAACGTCCACCGTCTGAAATCTTTAAGAACAATCCTTTCTTGCGATGCGAAGCCATGATCTGCTTGAGGACTGTTTCCCTTCAAACAAAAGCTATAGATAGCTACGTATAGGTTTTTTAATGGTGGGATCCATGAAGTGGATGGCTTCAGAATGACCGGCACAATACTTCGTCATTCCATGTCCTTCCACTCCCTCAGTACACCACCGTGGGATGCGCATCCTCTGGCAGCGCGCAATCCTGGAAGAGGAAGGTTTTGATGATGTCCTGGAACACGCGAAGACGCCCGGGTCTCCAGGCCCCAAATGCTCCAGGCCAAGTGCTTTGGTCCCTCAAAACCCCAGACCCCTGACCGAGGGTCCATTGAGCGTCCAAGTGGTCCTTTCACACCCACCAAGTGGTCCCACTGTTCTTCTTCAACTCCCTGACACCCCATGAGACTGCCATAGGACTGCCGCTCCATTGACCCTCCAAACCACCCCTGGCCTGATCGGCAGTCCTATGCCAGTCCCAGACGGGTCGTGTCTGGGACTTGTTTCCTCCGGGTCGAACTTGGCAGCCGTCCCCCAAATTCCAGTCACTCCTCTTCCAACAGCGGTTGAAGAACCCTATATATATATAGAGAGAGAGAGACTAACTATCCCATAGGTCACCCACATCAACAGGTCCTTGTTCACCAAGGAAAACCCTCTCCACCACTCCTGCAAGGACTTGAAGGCGATGTTGGGATACTTCTCCTCGCGGATCAGCGTGCCCGGCGCGCGGCGCTTCTTCTCCACGGGGTCCGTCCAGTTCACGCAGTACAGCATCAACCTCCAATCACCGGCTTCGGGAGATGCACGGAGAAATCGCAAGCACGCACGGTCTTAACGGGCCACAGGGATGGGTCAGGCATGGGCCAAAAAGCATGGGTTAGGTGTGTTTTTGGGTCCAGATCCCAAGATGTTCAGGTACAAGAAAACAGACCTAACTACTGTTCTATGGCTATAGGATTTCTCCAATAAATCACTGCTGCATGGCTGAAACGCCCTTTCGATGCGCGGGCACTTCTCACTCGGAATGCTCGCCAAGTCCGACGGGTCCGGCGCCCCCTGCCTGGTAGTGGTCCCTCCACAATCCGCCGACAGCACCAGCTTCCCGCCTGCTGGCACGCCCTGCAAAGGATCTCTCGTACGGGTACCCTGGGCGGACGTGGCTCCAGCGTCCGGTCCAATCCTCCACCCAAACGGCGGCTGCAGCTCAGCAGGAAGCTCAGATCTTCCAAGGAATGCAGCCAAGAAAGACAAGTAAGAAAGAAGAACAACGAACCCCAAGAAACACCCCCGACCCACCAGCCCCGGCTTCCAAACAAGCATTTCGTGTTCAACTGCAGGGTATCCTCCAAAAGAAGTGTCAATCTTCATGTATCTTAATGTAGACTCTTGATTCTTCAAACCCGAGGTTGTTCAATCCAATTGGGGTGGCTTTATTGATCAAGAGGGTCCAAAATGATTCTAAATGACCTGCTAGCATCTGCTACATAGCTGACCTCGGTTTGTAGTCTGGTTCTATCTGCTTCTTGCTGCCGTGGGGCCGCCAGGTGCTCTGGCCGCGGATGCTCTTCAATCGGACTCCGCTCCGCGCGGCTCACGTGGCGCTGCACCGGGAGAGCCTCGCGGCGCGCGGGGCTGCTCTGCCCGAAAAACATCCCATTCGACCAGCGAATGGAAAAGGTGATCGATCTGGGCGCCTGTGGGTGACTTGCGGCACACCGCATGATTGCGCTCCATGGTTCTTCTCATCTTTTCGATCGCATGTTGCCACAAACGAAAACAAAGAATCGTTTCAATGCTCGAACGGTGTTCCACATGCAGGTGTCCATCGAGGAGTTCATCGAACAGTGTCCAGTCAGATGCTGACGCGATGGGCCTCGCAGCGACTGCATCTTCTCCAGTCATCACCTCACCAGGTTCTGCTCGCGGTGAAGACAAACAAGCGGTCATGCTCGCATGCGTCTGATGTGAAGCTTTGTGGGTCACATGGTGCTCAGAAACACCTTCCTCACCAGTGTAGTAAGACGTTCATACTTCGGGCGTCGGGATCAGTGACCAAGGTGCGCATCAGAAGCTGGAGTTCAGTGTCCAGCTTCAACCCCAATGATGAGTGGTAGTGCTGCGGACACTTCTTTTGGCAGCGACGCAGAAAAAAAAGATAAAAAAAAGAACTTCAACCAAAAAAGGGTCACAATGCAAGCCACGCCATCGCCATCGCCCCATGCTCGGCCCTTCTCACTTCATGTGGACGGTGTGATCGAACGGTCTTTACGGTGAGGACCTCCGTTCACTCCGCGGCTCGTTCCACCGGCCTATTCTCTGGGCCATCAACATGGAGGCCACCAAGCCGAGACCTGCAGATGAGGACTCCACAAAATCCGAGACGAAAGCTAAACGGGAGAGCAAAAGGCTCTCCTTTAAGGCTAGATAGATAGATAGATCGATGGGTGGATGGGTGGATGGGTGGATGGGATGGGTGGATGGGGAGGGAGGGAGGGAGGGAGGGAGGGAGGGTGGGAGTGTGGGAGAAAGGGAGAAAGAAAGATAGATAGTTAGATAGATGGATAGATCGATGGATGGATAGTTAGGTAAGGAGGTCGGTAGATAGATAAATAGAAAGAATTGTTTGGAAAAAAAAAAGTAGGTGGGCCAAGATGGAATGCTGCAAAAGGCGACCAATTGAGGTGCAAAGTCACAGCATACCACAACTACATCCGGAGTTTTCTCTGTGAGTGAAAGGCTGGCATGCATTATTCCCTGAATGCTATCCATCTATCATCCATTATCTGGCACTCCAATCTTCTCTTTCTCTGGCCACGTTTGACTGCGTGCATCCCTGATGTTGGGCGGTTTTCATTTCAGTGTCGCCACTCCCCCACTCGCGACCGCAAAAGAACAAGACCGCCAGCCCACCCAACCACCTGCCTACAACCAGCACTTCCCTCAGCTTCGTGCGCCTGCAGCCCCCCAAAAAAACGACGTGACAAAAGCCGGGCACCTCGGGACGAGGGGTCCACGAGCCGCCCAAAGGAACGCCGGAAGGCATGCGCCATGGACGCTCGGACGACTGGGGGAGCCGGTCGGTCCCAATGAGACGTTCCTCCGCGGTGAAGCGTTCGGGTGACCGGGCTTGGGGGCGTTTCGGGGGGCTTAGAGGGGTGAGACTTGGATCTGTGCAGGTTTTGGAAGTCTGCAGATTGATGTGATCTACATCTTGCGGGGTGAGACAACTCAGTTAGACAACTCACGTCGGTCGCATCCCTGAAAACTCGAAGAGGAGCCTACTTTGCACTTAAACGTGGAACCTAAAAGGGGGTCTTCAATAAAAGGAAGGGTATGCGGACATGCGCGAAAACTCACAAGTGATATAGGTCCAACGTTTTCTTACCTGCTGGGTGGTTCAAGTGCAACTAGAGCAAGTTTCCGTCACAGTTTTCGATCTTAGGGAAGTGATGCTGCTCCGGTGTCTCTGATTAAGCAGGCTCATGAAGCTTGATCGAAAGCTGCAGGAGGTCAGCAAATGTCAAACTCTCACAAGGCTACTCAAGTGGTGCCACCTTCTTCTGCCCGCTGCCCTTGTTGCAGCAACAAACCAAACAACTCCTCTCCTCCTCCTCCTCCTCCTCCTCCTCCTCCTCCTCCTCCTCCTCCTCCTCCTGCTGCTGCTGCTGCTGCTGCTGCTGCTACCACTACCACTACCACTACCACTACCACGACCAAGAAGTAGTAGTAGTAGTAGTAGTAGAAGTAGTAGTAGTAGAAGTAGTAGTAGTAGTAGTAGTAGTTAACAGGAGTAGCAGGAGTAGTAGGAGTAGCAGGAGCAGCAGCAGCAGCAGTAGCAGTAGCAGTAGCAGTAGTAGGAGGAGTAGTAGTAGCAGTAGTAGTAGTAGTATTTCTACTACGGCGACTACTCCACAGCAGCCACTCAACCACTCAGCCACTTATGCTTTTCTTCCTGTCAGCCACTCAGCGACTCAGCCACTCAGGATCTTGAGTGACTGAGTGGCTGACAGGAAGAAAATCCGCATTTCCACATACAATCCAAGATCGAAAAAAGCTAAATGCGGGGCGGACGAGTTCTGGGTGAGTTCTGGGTTCGTAACTTGAAATCTGCTGTCGTCTTGAACCATGATGAACCATAACTTCCACGTAAGTTATTCCAGCTTGATCTCCATGCTGCATGCTGCATGCTGTTCACTCGCTCTCGCTCTCGCTCTCGCTCTCTCTCTCTCTCTCTCTCTCTCTCCCGTCGCTCTCCCCGATCTTCTGCGGGGGAAATTCTTGGACACGGTGACTCAGAGACACCAACGGAAGGCGGTATCGATCGAAGACGCTGTCAGCACATCGCACCGAAATGCCCATTAGTTGTTCTACTATCTAAAGCGCCAAAAAGAGCCACACAGATTTGCACAGGGCCAGTAGTTGGTCCTAACCACACCTTTTTGCCGAAGCTAAGATCAAGTTTCGCCACAGCTTGCCTTGCAATACTTTTACTAGTGGCTTCAGCAAACATCAAGAACGGCACGGTAGAACCAGGTAGAACCTGCCACAACCCGTCGCACGAATCCTTTCACGTCGTCGTATGGTTCGCCGCTCCAAACCCGGGTCCCCCAGCAGCTGGGCTCGAAGCCCAACCAGGCCTGGTCTTTCGCTGGTCTTTCGGACGGTCCGTCATTTCTTCCTCAATCCGGACGGTCCGGACAACACCGGTGAGCACAGAGATCCTCTTGGGACAACATTGGGGAGCGTCCGTCGCAAACAGAAGAACCCAGTGGGGATGGTGAGAGCTCGGTTCACCACCAGAGTCCACCGGACTCGCGTCCATCCGCGAAAGGGCACCAGGACGCTTTGAAGCGACCAGTAGACAGCCAGGATGGTGGTTGAAAGAGGAAAATCCATGCTTGGTTGCTGCATCCATTCGTGACGAAACTAAGGACTAGGGAGTTGAAAACGAACCTGAAAAATCCCAGGCTTGCTGGGTTTGCTGGGATTCAAGTCCAGGTTGGCCACCAAATGGGAGAGTCTCAAAGAATCTCCAATAGCCTAGTGATCCTGGGTTCCATCATGGTAAGTGGGTCCTTCCTTCACGCAAAGCCACGACGGATTACTTCCGTTCGATAAAAAAAGCGCCGCACCGGCAGAACCGACGCTTCCACCCAGCGATTCAACAAGCACTCAACACCCCCACTGAATTGCCAAACTCTACCTGCCATGTTTTTGGAGCTGTTTGAATCCGAAACCATGACGAAACCGGTGAGAAAAACGTCCCCGTCCGCGCGCCAGTCACCCGTCCGCCTCCAGATGAATCACCATCCTGGCCGCGCGGGCGCGCCACGCGGCGCCGACCGCAGCGAGTCCGCGCAGCGAGTCGATCGGAGTCGAGCCGACCGCTCCGGTGCAGTGGTTTTGGTACCGGCCTGGGGTTGAAGATCCAAGAATCATGGGTTCATGGGCTGATGCGTGGCTAGTTGAGTAGGAGGTCGATGCAATGGATGCAACCATGCCACGCCTGGTCGCTGTGCAGCCACTGCACTTTGGCAGCGTCAAGCGCGAAAATCCGCAGCCCCGGATCAAGTCAAGCAGCCCGTCTTGAGCCAACTGCGAGGTGCGACATCCCAACGTGGAGTTGTTGATCTTCCCAGGGTGCTTTGTGTTTACGAAACCTCTTCACTTCCGGAAGATCTAAGTACAAGTAGCTCCTACTTAACTACAGGCAAAGTTGGAACACACTGAGGACTGGCTGGCCGGCCAATTGATTCCATCCCCCAGTTGGATGTCTTGACTTCGAAACAGAGGGAACCTCCAAGCGAGGCCCAGGTCAGACCGCTTGTACGTGCGGCAGGACCGCTTTTCCGCTCGCATCTTGCGGCGTGAGAAGAATCGAACCACTGCCACACAACAGTTCCGGCAGCGAGCTTCTTTCCAGCATTTGGCTTGGCTGTGACCAAGCTTGTATCTCTTACGGTTGGAGGCCATCGCTATTACCTCTTCGTTTGTTGCCCGGCAAGTGGTTGGCAACTGAAGAACCATCTTGAGCCAAGCAGCCAACCGTGTACGAGTTGCAAACGGAACACATCTGGTCAAACGGAACGAAGCTCGTGAGACTTCACGGGTGGGGCATCCGCAGGGTTCGCCTCACCGAGAAGGGCAACTACACTACTCCCTCTTTGCTCCAAAGGCCTTTTGATCCAGAGTGAAGATTTGACAAATCAAGCTCTACATTGATTCCGTCCCTAGTCAAAGCTTTACCATACTCTTCTCATCCGGACATCATCATGATATACATGACATGATGATGATACTTAGTTGGCCTTTCGTGCCGAAAGCATCACCACGCGATCTTCCCCAGGGCCCCGTGAACCAGACATTTCGCAAGGCTTCACATCTGAGCGCGCAAGGGCGATCCACCAAAGCCTCGCTTGACCGGGCGAAGCAGTTCGGACCAACGGGCGGCCGGCGGCCCCGTGGAACCACAGGCCGAACGACTGGTTCCAGAGCACCCGAGCCGATGGCCGAGCCGAGGCAGAGTTCAACAGATTTCGAGGATGAACGGGGCGGGGGGGCGACTCTTGAAAGTCTTGGGAGTCAAAAGCCCCTCACTGAAGAGCTCCGGAGTCTGCCTGCGCCGACCACCCTTCGCTGCGCAGCCGGGGATGCGACGCGAGGCTTCGCGTTCGTAACCCGCCCCACCTGCCGTGCGCGGACCTGGTCCGACCTGCGCGGTTACTTGGTCTCTGAAGCCCGGACGAGTCTCCAAGGATGAACTGAAATATAGACATAGAGTGAGTTAAGCACTGACAAAGAAGGGTGTGAAGATATTTAAAGAGTTAAGAATTATACAAGCATAGACCCCAAACAGCTTCTTTGTCGGCATTGACATCGCTATTTGTTCGGCCACACTCCTCTCCAGTAAACCGGGCCACAGAGACCAGCCACAGAGTTCAGGGGCGCGGCCAAGACAAGGACAAGAGGAGGACAAGAAGAGGACAAGCAAGGCCCAGCCACAGAGGACAAGAGGAGGACAAGGCCTGGACACAGAGCCCAGCCACAGAGTTCAGGGGCGCGGCCAGTGAGTGTGGCCAGCCCTTTTTTTCTAAGATAGAACCCCAACAGTAAACTGTTTGGGGAAATACTCAAAAACAAACCCTGGATGATTGCAAATCGGGAAAACTCCGGTTTGTGGCATGTTCGTTTCGGAGCAAAGCACCTGTGCTGAACCAAAAACCGGCCTGACATGGAGAAACCAGAACTACCGAACTGAGCCTCAATCTACCAGAGGCTCTGAGCGAGCGATTGAAGCGTCTTTCGGTGACCCCTCCGGACCCGGTCCGAACCCATGAACATCTCGGTGCCCAAGACCCAGGGGCCCCGGCCTCAGGCTCATCCTCACCTGCCGCACGAACCGCGCACGGCGCGAGTCTTCGCCCCACCGTCTTCGCCCCGGTGGCTACACCTCCAAGGCACGCGTGCCCTCAGCCAGCTCCCCCCGAGCCTCGGGTGGCTGAACAGCGCTCCTGGTGGGGTCATCCAACAATCCAATCCGGGTGGCGAGACGATCGCTTGGGGGTCATGGTTACCTCTCTGTCCAATCCAGAAAAAAAGAGTAAAAGCAGCCCCGCGAAGGCCTCTGTTTTCCGTCAACTTGGCACAAGCACATCGAACACCGCCGGCGAACCCGGCCCGACCGTGGTCCTGGTAGTACTTCTGTTGTTGGGGACCTGGGGACAGTAGGAGGACAGTTGCGCGGCATCGGAGTCCAGCTGCTGGCGATCTCAAACTATTTGGAAAAACTTGAAAATACTGGGTAGCTACTTCAATGTTGCTTTGGGGTGTATCGGTAAATATTTGGGGGCATCCAGCTTTCATTTGGGTATTCTTACAAACCTTTATGTTGTCCAAATGTGTCTTCACAAACGGCCGAACTGTGCCTGCAGAGAAGTTGAACTCACGTCCGGCCATTCTCGGTCCGGCCTGCGTCCCTCATCCGTGACTGAAGCTCGGCCATCTGTGCACACAGCAAATCCAGCCTGCCACGTGTTTCAGCCGCACGGCCCGCGGGTGGGTGTGTGACTCAACAATTGTGGAGATGTAACGTAACGGTTCCCAAAGAAAATGCTGCAATCAATCCAAGACTGGGGAGAACTGTCAGAACGATTTCAACCTTCACTGAAGCAGGCCAGGCTCACTTGCCACGTGCCTTCGTCAAAGGAGACACGCTTGAACCATCAACAGAGGTTGCCTCGCAGGGGAAAAAACCCTCCCAATCCCTGTGAGTGTCACACTTTGACAGCCCAAACCCGTCAACTTGTGGCCCGGGGCAAATGGCGAAAGCTAGCGGTGTGGGAGCGGTGTGGGGCACAAAGGAAGCATTGGGCCAGCAAAAGTGGGAGCACGGTGAAGGCAACATGCAGGCTCAACAGTATCTGAGGGCACCCTTTTTTGGCCGCTGCTGGGCTTGAACTCCGATGCATGCCTGGAAATGGACTGAGCCTTTCAAACGGATCACAAATCACACAGAAACGGATCACTCGAGAGTGAGGATATTGATATATATATATATAGTTGCAATACCTTTTGGATCACGTTCCTACAGGACCAACCACAGGATCCAAATCCGTGCTTTTGCACCCGCTGATTGTGACGGTCAACGAATTGGTGTTTAAAAAAATCCGCGTGAAGGAGCATGATTGGGAGAGTCTTCGGATAATCGATCATATGGAGTTCCATCAAAGAACTGGCATTTGTTTCAATCGAGGTTGGAGCCTCAGGCAAATTAATGTACCATTGCTGGCCTAGGATGCTTCGGTGTAAACTGTGGTTGGTGCAAAGTGTAGACCATGTCAAACTGTCGTTCGTGTAAACCAGATTTCGGTGTAAACGGTGGTTGGTGCAAACTGTGGTTTGGCGTAAACGGGTAAACCATGGAGCAGCAGCAAGCAGCAGCAGCAGCAGCGGCGGCGGCGGCGGCGGCGGCCGCAGACCACCACCACCACCGCCGCCGCCGCCGCCACCACCACCACCACCAGCAGCAGCAGTAGCAAACGCAGCAGCAACAGCAATAGCAGCCACGTTGGGAACTGAGAAACGGAAGGGAGGAGTTGAACCCGCAGGGGTGGTATATCCCTGATATATATATATATATATACGTCAGGGGCCAGGACTCCGGTCCTCGCTTCCCACCCCTTGAAGACTGCACAACGATTGCAACAAAGGGGTCAAAACGTCAAAACGCAAGCCATGTTGGGGTTTGCATGGGCTTGGTCGTTCTGTCCATGGCTTCTTGCAAGTCCTCATCTTCCTACTTGCATATCTTATCTGGTCACACTAGTTTACACAAATGGTTTGCCTATTGTGGGCTGTTAAAGTCTGCCAATGCCAAGACTTTCCAAAACACAAACTACAAAATGGAGGCGGCCCAACGAGAATACTGCACAATGATTGCAACAAAGGGTTCAAAACGTCAAAACGCAAGCCATTTGGGTTTGCATGGGTTTGGTAGTTCTGCCAATGCAAACTGCAAAATGGATGGGCTTAACGGTAATACTGCACAATGATTGCAACAAGGGGGTCAAAACGTCAACACGCAAGCCATTTTTGGGGCTTGCTATTTTGTCAGTGGTTTCTTTGAAGTCATTTTCTATCCGTTTTCATATCTGAATCTTGGGCTGCTAAGTCTGCCAACTCGCAGACTGTGAAAACACAACACCACAACGTGGAGAGTCCCAACGGGAAAAAAACAATATGATTGCAGAACAGAGTTCAAAAGCCAAAACGCAGACCATTGTTGCTGGTTTACAAGACAGAAACAGTCCAAGGGGTCCCATCTGGCAAGGATGAAAAGGAGCAAGCCCGGAGCATGTGCAGGGCTGGATTCCCAGGCAAGTTTATGTTTGAAGCTTGTACGGGGCGCCGTCCTGGTTCCACTATTATTTGTTATCGTCACACTAGTTTTCATGATTCATATGTGTCGACCCAGGAACACATCTACAAAAATATCCTCGTGTTTCTTCTTTGTGAACCAATGACTCGGACGCTTGCATCGCTCAGCCATTGTTTCGTCCTGTAGACTCGGGGATATTTGTGTAAATGTGTTCCCGTTATCCACCAAACGTCTCAAGCAAAGAAGAAAGTCCACCAATTACAAACAACAATGTTCAGGTTTTAGAAACAGATCCCGGCAAAAAGATGAGCTGATATTGTCAACAAAGATGTATGTTCGCCATTCTGAGGAGAGGTCGGAGTGTTTTCCGTGAAGGGACTCAGCACAATGAATCATCATGAATCATCATGGTTGCAGCAGCAAGCAGCCAGCAAGCAACAAGGAGCAACAGCAGCAGAGCTACGAACAGCAGCAGCATCAGCAAACAGCAGGAACAGCAATAGCAGCCAATGATATATCAGGGGTTAGGACTCGGGTCCTGGCTTCCCACCCCTCCTTGCTAAAGCAAGACAGACTCCAGCTGACTTTCAATGATTTGGCTGCCAATGGGCATTTTTCCGGAGGAGAGACTTGGAGCTCTGACACAAGGGGAATGCCCCGTGGAACCATTTCCAGGCTTGTTCATGCAGTCCCGTGGAAAACCACCACCTGTTTCTTCGGAACACGTCACCAAGCCCTTGCGGCACCTTGCGCATCAAGGCTTGCAGATCCTCCACATCTGCGCGGAGGCTCTCCACTTCCTGCGTCGCGTGGTCGGTCCGTTCTCGGACCGACCGCACTAGGGACCTGGCAAACGTCCGACCGACGGCCAAGAACTGCGCAGTCCTTGGTGATGCCATTGGTTTGAAGCTTCACATTGGCAAGGTCCTGGCAAAACATCAACCCTGTGGCCTGTGACCCAGAGATAAGAGTTTCAAGGCAAAATCTGCGAAAAGTTTACTCGATGTTCTTCATTTGTCAAGAACGCTCGCATCCCAAAGCACCAAGAAGCTTACTGAGTCGTGGCCTCCCTATCACACACCCGCTCGCCACCCGCAGCCCGCGAGCCGGGCTCGCTCGCTCCTCTTCGTACGTCGACACCTGTCTGGCCAAGGTCTGAACATCTTGGACCTCGGTCCCAACGCCCTGCCGGCTTTACAAAGGCTCGACCGAAAGCATCGGGAAGGCAATACATTGGACACGCAAGACATGCACAGGAATCGCTCATGTGGCTGCGCAGCAAACGTCTCGTGGCTGCTACGCTTCGGACGCTGCATTGAACACGAAAGGAACCGTTCACGGCTCCGGACGTGGTTCGTCGCAGCTTTGGCGACGTCCTGCTCTTCCCTCGCATCAATCTGCCTCAACTTCTCCTGTGCCAAAGGTGGATGACAAAATGATCGCTTCGAAAAAACATTCATGATGGCGTCCCAAAAAAAAGAGACGACTGGGTGAAATGATTGCTGCTCACCAATATGTGCAGCATGTGCCTGAACACCAAACACCCCCAAACACCCCACTCGTTCAGGGTGAAGTCATATTGAAGTCATGCCTGACCTTGATTCATCTTCTGCGCGATGAATCAACTTCGTCTCATCCCGCCTCCAACTCCGGGCTGAGCTCGAGGTTGTCCACCTCCGCTGAGCTCGTGGCGGTGTGGTGACTCGCTGGTGGTCCGATGTGCGAAACCCCCGTGTCTTCGCGAAAAGCGAGTTGATTGGAAAGATTGGGAAAGTCAGGTGTGCCTGGACCCCCCCCCAGGGTGAAAACCCCCTTGTGGGGGGAGGATTCCCTAGACGTTCCGTGTCCTCTGGTACACGCTGAACGCAAGGAGCTGAGCTGAGAGTTTCTTGGAAGATCTTGGAAGATGGCAGCAAGCAGGTGCGTCGAAGATTGGGTCTTCCGATCTTGTATCTTGGGAGGTCATGTTTCAGTTTCAGTGTACCCAATTGCCAATGCGCTCGCTGCCTTCGCCAGCAGTTGCTCCAGCCCTCCACCATGGCCCTGAGATGCGCGAGGAGGGGCTGCGGCGCTGCGACGGAAATCAAAAGTGGATCAACACGTCCATGCTTTCAGAGCATCTCCCCGTCCCAGCCCGAGTCACGATCACCCCGTCAGTCCCAGCATGCGAATGCAGCGTTGTGTCTATTTGTCCATGGTGTCCCTTCACCCGAGATGCCGCGCATTCACCAGAGACGGTAGGAACTCGTGCGGGCCTCGGCTTAGGCACCCAAACGCGAGGCTTAGGGCCCCCGTCGCCCGAGGGCGAGGAGAAGCAGAAAGGAGCTCTGGGGACGCATGGAGTCACAGGCGGCGGCCCGCAGCCGCGTTGGAAGCACCTTTAGCTTTCACGCAAGGAAAGCGACGCGTCGCCTGCCCCGAGTCGTCGGGCGCCCGGGCTCAAGCTCTTGAGCCGCTCCGCCACGAGCCGAAAGGCCCGTTCCAGCGGCTCCAGCCTCTCAGCCAGCTCCGCCAGACCTGGCGGAGCTGGCACCGGAGCAGTGGGTGGGAAGGGGGGGCTGGTGGGGGCGGGGGGGGAACCATCCCACAGACCCTTTCCACTGTCCACATATTTTTTCTGCAGTCACACGCAGTCAAAGCAGGGCAAGAACTGGCCAAGGTGGTCCACCGGGTTCCTCCCATCACTGGCCTGTGTCTTCCCCTCCATGATCCTGCAGCACTTTCCCACAAACGGGTCATGCGCAATGAAAACACCCTCAATTGCCACACCACGCCAAAGAAAATGGTACACGTCACACATCACATCAGGTCATGAAAAGCTCGCTCACCGTCTCGCCCGGAAAAAAATCAAGAAAGCGAATGAGAATGTCTGAGAATCAATGAGAGCTGATCTCGATCCACTGCGCAATCATCGTGGGAACCTCACTCTCTGGAAGCATCTCTTTAAAACTAAGTCTCATGGAGCCTCGCTCACCGGTTTCTCCGAGATTTACTCAAGAAGCTCTCCAATTGTCGAACAAACTTTGAGGTTCACTAGGTGATGCGTGAAGCCGATGAACGTCCCACCTCCAGCAACTCTGGCTCCTGGTCTGGCAAGAAGGCCTGGCACACCCCATGAAGCTTGTTTGGCTAAGTGTCCGTTGCCAAACTGTGTAACGGTCTTCGACTCGGATCCCTGGGAATTCCGTCCTGCGTCCTTCAAATGGTCAGGATCTTTTCAATATCTCTGTCGGACTCGGAATGGCATCTTTCGGAGTAGAAGTCCCGTCTTCGGAAGGGATTCGTGGATCTGTTCTGCGTCAGAAATGGAACTCCCTGGCCCACGCCAAGGCTCGGCCGGCCGGCTATGCGATGCCTTTGGACCCCCCCGGTGACCGCGCCTGCTCCAATTCAACGACCTCCAAGGCACGTTCAACGCGCAGTTGGCTGCTTTGGGTCCGTGGTTTCCGCATCAAGGCATGAAGAAACATCAACAAACCTCAACAAGTGGCCAAAAGCCGGTATAGGTCTTTTGCAGCGGTAAAATAATAGCCTCTAAATGGTGGTCTTCCTTCTTGTTCTCGATCATGTTGATCAATTCCGGCCCACATGGGTCTATATTGTAGTCTCAGTTCCCTCCTCGGACGACGTATTGAGGAAACTGTTTGCCTCAAGCCTATTGAGACGTTTGATGTTGTCTTCAGGTTGTTAACTCCATACCGTCGACTGCGGCTTCTCCACAGTCGAAACCCTTCATCTAAACGCCAGATTCAACCTTGGGTTGGTTTCCCTTGAAATCCAAAAAACGAGTTGGACACACACTGTGACACACACCTGTTACTTTCGGTCACAGTTTTTCGCGGTCCACCTCGGGGTCGGGAAGCGCGAAGCGCGCGCCTGCTCCTCGAGGTGACGGAGGTCTTGGGCTTGGCCATGCAAGTCTAAAGCACCTCGGCCGCCGCGACGCCCAGCGGCCGCCCGGTGGTAGAGCACGGGCGGTTCTTTCACGGCAGACACCTGTTCCTGGGAGGTCTGGGCCCCATGACCTTCCCAACCAACTCGTGGAGGTGGAAGTTCCCCACGAGACACAGAAACAAAGGAACGACGTGTCTGCACGGCACGACCACGAGGTGCCGGCTGACGGAGCAGTTGACCCCACGGACAGATGACGTGTGTTCTCGTTGAAGAGACGGCGGTGTCCCAATCCACACATGAACAGAATGGATATGAATGGATCTCAATCCACCTGCCAAAGCTTCCAACCTTGGGGTCACCTTGCCGGAACGGCCACGGCGCAACATCAGACGGCCCTCTAAGGGCCCCGGCTGTCCGACATCTCCTCAGCCAGCATGGCTTCTGCCTCGAAACCAAGACCACGCCCAACAGCGTGGCAAGAAAACGACCAAACAGCAAGGACCACAGTGACCACAGGTCAACGGGGTCCGAACAGGAGGCCCTTTTTCGCATGTGACCCTTTTGAAAAATGGTTGAGGAACAAACCATGACGTTGGAACGAGATGAAATCCAGATGACGTTGGAGCTGAATGAAGCTATCCTTCCCTCTCTTCGGAGCTCTGTGAGGTCTTTTTACCTGCAGGAATCGGCTGACGAAAGTGCTGTCTCAAATGATCTGATGTGTGGTAAAGTGATGTTGAGGTGATCTGTGGTGTGGTTGCTGCCACAAGCGCAGCCTGATGAAGCATCAGCTGTGGAACCTGTGTAATGTGGCGATGTGGTGTAGAAAGGACGCCGCAGGGCCCATAGAGGGCTTTGAAAAGAGTGAACCGCGGCAAACAGCATCACCACTGATGCATTCTTCATCTTGATTTGGTTAGAGGCTAGAGGCCATTGCTGGTAGGTTGGAGGCCAGTCAGTACGCCCAAAAGCCGCATCGCAAGTCACCACAGTAACCCCGCAGTGCGTCGTCGCATCACATCATCAACATGGGATGTTGTCAGGTCATAAGATACCACTCAGATACTTCACCACAGCCCCAATCACCACACATATCCTCACTTTCCCACTTGAAAACAAGTCACCACGCGCACACAGGCGCACACACACTGCCATTCATCTCCTCAATCTCTCTGTAGCCAATCCAAGGTTCACTCTATCTTTCATCCGCATGTAGCCATCTGACATGGCGAATTGGTCTCCATCGTGGGTCCTGGGTCCTCACCTCCTCTTCGCTCCTCTTCGGGTGGACCATCCGTGGTTCACCCCCCCGACGATCGGCCGAACCCGGCGGTTCGTCCTCGCCTGAAGCTCTCTTTGGAGCCGCAAGGAGAGAAGCCGCGCCTCAGGGATCGAGGACGGGACGAATGGACTCGGACCGGCTCGAGGTCGTAGAGGTCGTAGAGGTCGGAAGAGCAGAGCTCATTTGGAAGGGAAGCTCCGAAGCAAACAGGAGCAGATGCACTATCCCGCAGGGAGCAACCACCTGCCTCAGGCTTCCATCACCAAGCGTTTGAGGTATCTGGAGTGGGCCTAGACTCCTTGAAAAAGCCGTGAAAGAACTGCTAAGCTGAGTTACTGCCGGGCAAACTCGCAAACACGGTCGTTCCTGCATTCTTGGTTTGATGTCGGTTGTGTTTCCTGCCTGCAGTTCCCCAACTTCATTGCTCAGCCGGTACCTGCGATCTTAGTTGGCAAAGGGAAAAAAATGGCATCTGATGACACGAAGACCAAAGCATCAAAGCGAAATCAAAACCGGTGGACCCTGCTTGACAACCGAACACGAACAGAATCGATTACTCGGGAGGGATTGACCTACCAGGGATTGGGGCTCGAACGAGTTTGGGCGAACATAGTCTATACACCCCTTGCTCACAAGTGAGCGGGTATACCAGAGATTGGGGCGGGTTTTGACCCCCAGCCATATCTTTAAACTTGACATTGGCCAATGTTAATGTGGCCTTCCAAAAATGTCTTGGACACCAGTAGTGTTATCATCTTGGAAAGCATAAGAAAGAACTATCCCTTGGGCACAACTTCACCTGCAGCGGGCTCAGAGTCTCCGGCGTGCTCATGGGGCCTTCCGCCTGGGCCAAGCTGACTGGAGCTACAATACAGTACCTGAAATTCCTCCAACCTATTAGCTTCCAACCTAAAGCCATGGCCTCCAACCTAATCGCGATGGCCTCTCACCTAATGGCGATGGCCTCTAACCACAACCATGGCACCCGGCAGCTGACAGTACAGATGGCTGCTTTTTTGGGGGCCGGCTGCGTTTCAGTTTGCGCCAGCGTTTTTCTTAGGCCGGTGTTTGTCGTGCATTATCCTTTCTAACTAGCTATGGCCTCCAACCAATAGTGATGGCGTCCAACCCAATAGCGATGGCCTCCAACTCAATAGGCCTCCAACCTAATAGCGATGGCCTCCAACCTAATGGCGATGGCCTCCAACCTAATAGCCCCAAAGAAGTTTCAGATCTACAAACCATTCACTTAATGACCCCAGATCAACTTTTTCCACCTGGCAGAATGAAATTAAATGCGCGTCACCCAAGCACAAGCACAAAATGCAGTGGTTTGTCACTGGAACCCTTCAATGCTCTTCCACATGATGAAGGTCCAACTTGGAAATGCACATTGCTTTGACCAGCGTAGCGCTCCAATTCCACCACCTGGGAATTTCGACATGTCCAGGGGTCAAAGCGCTGATCCTACAGTTGCATTCAGACTGCGTTCTTGGGATGCGGTGAAACAATGGCGCTGATGGTGGAGGATGGTCTTTCCACCAAGGCCCCCTTCAGGGCCTCTTGGAGGTTGTATAAGAGTTCCCGTCCCTCAGACACCCAACCAGTCATGGCCTCAACTTCGATTGATGCAAATATTTCATGACCGAGCGATTTGGAGCACCCTCTCCACAGGCCCCCCCCGGCCGGGCTCCCGGACTCTGGCAGCCAGCGCATCCGCAGCCAGCAAGTGGCCTGCCATGGCCGCCAGCGGCCAACAGCCAGCCACCCAAACAGTCGAAGTGTCTCGAAAGGCGAGGAAAGGCGGTATTGAAAGGACCTAGAGTGGGTCCCTCCGAACCCCCGACGCATCTTCGTCTCCGCACGGCCGAACCCCTCCCACCTGCGAGCAGATGGAGCTCCGGCGCCGTCTCCGGGGGGGCCAGGTGCCCGGCCATACTGGCGCCCGATGGCAGGGAGCGGCTGTGGAGCAGGTGAGGTCCGGGGATGCTCTGTTCTTGAGGCGGTGTTCATGAGGATTGATTGGAGGGCTTTGCGGCGCATGTCACGGATTGGTCCACATGTTTGGAGATATTTTGTGCTGGTGGACATTTTAGTTCCTTTTGGGAGAGTTCTGGAGTGGGAGATGTGAGAGGTGTATCTGCAGCGGAGAATGTGGGATCGTCCAAAAATTGAGGCGCAAGATTGTCTCTAAGCTGGCTAGCAAGGGATCCTTCTCCCGTTCCACCCATGATTCCCAAGGAAAAGCAGGCTCTTCAGCTACTGGAACATCTTTCAGTTGAAAAAAAAAAGGCACATAGAAAACTCCTACGCCACCCCATGAAGCAACCCAACCGACCCTATGATACCAAGCCCGGGCCTCTCTCTCTCTCGACCGCTTCACCGCTTCACCGGGGCGCCCGGGCGAATCGTCCGAGTCCGAGTCCGCGGGACCCTCGCCGTAAAACGCCTGGCGCGGCAGGAGCCGGATGGGAACGGCAGGAGCCGGATGGCTTTACTCATCCGGACATCTTCGGACCAAGAACTTGAGAGGGACAACACCTCCACACACCTTCTTGCAGCTGATGTCAGATCCTGTCAAAGCTGAATCTTTCAGGGCATGTGTGTCCGGTACACGGACTGGTGGGGTCCCCCAGCAGCTTGAGGACCCTTTTATGGACCTCTCCCCGCGTCTGCCCTAGGGCCCTGGGCTTGCAGAGGCCTCTGGGTCCAAAGGTGCAACGCACATCCCACCTGCACATCACCCAGGGTCCCGTTCACTTCGAGCCTGGCTTCATGCGCGTCTGGACACGGGTATCAGTTCTTATCACAACTGCACTAGGTATTTGGCGGGTACAGTAACAGTCGTTGTGAGGAGAACATTGAACGCCTGATGTAACTGGGAAATACTTGGACCGTCCTTCACTGTAGGAATAAACTGGATCCCATGGAAGCCAGCATACATGCTGTGCATTGCTGCGCTACCTTCAGGATTTCCTTTGGGTCAGAATCATCTTCCGATTTCCAAGCTTCTTGGCGCTCGTCGCAAGATCACCTCCATGACAACAACCCACTCAGTCTCCGTACCCAGGAGGATAGTGGAAGAGCTCTTCACTGGAATTACTTTGAACCTGCGGGCGCATCTTGGACTTGCAGCTTCTCAAGTTCTCAGCTACATGTCTCAATGCACACCCCTGGGGGAGTGTGCTGTGGAGAGTGCTGTGTGGGTCGATTCGCCGCTAAAGCCCTGGAGGCCCTGGTCCACCGATTGTGCCGCGATTTCGCCCGCACCGACCGACACCAGACCTGGTCGTGCTCGGTCGGTCACAGAAAATGGCTCGCACCGGCACAATAGGAGGTTTCTTGAGACAGACTCTTGACACCAGGCACCATGGTTTCCGGAACCATCTCTCTATGTGGCGCTCTCCACCCGCTTCAGCCATCCCCAACACCACACCAGAGTGACGGCCTCATAGCAGGTGGTGCTGGGCCTCGGAAAGTCGAGACACGATAGAACCGACCAACGGCTTTTTCACCGGCGAGCTGTTCTAGGCCTCAGGGTGGAAAGCAACTCTTCTTTATAAAGCAGCATGAACAATGAAAGCAACTGACTTCTGCAAAGTCCAGAACGCGATGCTCGAGAGCTGTTCTAGGATCATGGCTGAGTGTTTGCATCCGGCACCAAGCCTCTAAAAGCGTCATCCAATCTGCTTGCGGGAGTTTGAGCACATGAATTGGGAGCTATGGCTAGGCTACGGGAATATCGTGCACAGCGAGATCAAAAGGTTTGAGTTCATCGCTCCCATTGCTTGCCTTCAAGAGGGATGAGTTGGCCTTGTTCCGCTTGAAGTTGGGACAGCTGCAGCCTGGCAGCTGTCGTACAGCCCAAGGCAGATCCACCGATCGATCCACTGGTATCTTCACCACTGGTCAGAATCCAATCTTGGAGACTGCAGACAGAACTCACATCTCTTTCAAAATGGACTCCAAGTGGGCTGAGGCCATAGCATCTCACTGCCGTAAGGCACCTGAGGCACCTGCGAGCTTCTGGTGCGGAGCCGGAGGGGTTCAAGATGGTGACGAAGAACTTCGCTCAGAACTGAAGTGCGCCAGTGGGTACTACGTGGGCCAAATCAACTCGGAGAACGACGAGGGTTTTGGGCTGCTTTTGGGGCACCCTGATGGACTCGATCAAGATCCAAGTGCTCGAATCCCTTTGGAACCAGTCACATCCATGTCTAGAAATTCACGAAGTGCTCGAAATGTGGACCTTGGTCCACCATATCCCTAGCAGGACCGGAGCGAACGACTGGTCCACGTAGCTGTTGCCCGGACCACGCGCAACAGCGCGCGGCGAAGCCGCGCCTGTCCCAGCACGCAAGCGAGCTCCGCCTTGTTCGGGCCGGACAGGGGTCGGCGAGCGTCGAAAGGCCGGACCAAGGGGAGCTCCGCCCCCCCGAAACTATTGGGATGGATGGCTGCAAGCAGAAGTGGCAGCATTCGGCATTCAAGTGCATTCAACTGCCTTCATCTGTGACCCATGTCCTTCGGAAAAGACCTCCTTTGACACAGTTCCCGCAGAAACTACTTTGTGGGCCTAGCGGCCTAAGCTAGTCACACCAAAATTGGAAAAGGAAACATCTACAGTAGCCAAGTCCTGTTTGTATAGATCTGTTGAGAGTGGCGAAGCCACCTTTGTTTCACCCTGAGAACGGCTGGCCTGCATTGCTTGTACCTGCGATGGCAAAGCCTGAAGCGTTGCCAGCCTTGGCAAAGCACTCCAGACTGTGACAAGCTTCGCATCACTACGTGAATCTATCATACTTTCAGTGTCCCAAAGCCTAGCAGCTCAGTTTCAACTTAGCATCTTTGCAAGCTCAAATGCTCCGGTGCTCTACTAAACTAGTCTCTAGGATGTGGCAACAACAGCTGCCACACAAGCAAAAGTATGCCAAGTTAATCTTCCAGAAAATGCAACTGGTATTTGTCGCACAAATGAATAACCAACAACCAATGACTGCGTATATGCTCCGCCAATGCATTGAGGTGCCCGCTCTGCTCTAGCCTTTCGTACAACCTGCACAGGGACTTATTACTTACGCTCTTCTGCCCGCAGCTGTTGGTTGCGATGTCATGGAATCCCCTCTCTCCCCCCAAAAGGGCAAGCTGCTACGACACGCCCACGCAACGCTGAACCTGTGCAAGCACTATTTTGCACTCCTTGCGTTTCTTGCATCGTCAATGCAGCCATTCCCCCAGCGGTGCATTGCATGTTCAGGTCGGAAGAGACACCCGAAGGGACCTGGTGTCACAACTGGAGCTGCGAACTCGCCGAGAAGTGCAGTAACATGTGCTGCATCAGGTGCGGATAGTTCCGGATAGCTTCACTTTGGGACATTTCCTTCAGGTATCCACTCAGACGCAGGATCCTGAACGTCAACGTCAGCAAAAAAAACACCAGCAAAAAATCCAAATTTGGGGTACATTAAAAGGCCAATAGGAGGATATCACAAATTCTGCAACATCATGCCACAGCATAGATACAGCTAGATGAGCCCTAGCCCGCCGCCCTAGAACTTGGTCCGGGACTTCGAACTTCCTCGTGGTGAGACAAACACTACTAAACTATATATCACATCTATCCCAAACGCGCCCAACACATGCAAACCTCTATCAAAGGAAGCCAACTCCGACCAGCGTCTTAAATGCATGATTGTACAAGCCGATCAAATCGAATTCCACCGCAATGGCCAGGATCTCCAACATGTTTTCGTGCGCCACTTGCTGCGCCAAGGAGTCCACCTCACGGCTACCGCAAGCGAGAACGAATCGCGGTTCACCGCGGGGCCAAGACTTCCACACTTCGAAGGGACTGAGATGGCCATCGAGGGGTTTACATGAATGGCAACGGATTGATGCGGAGAACACCCCAAAGGTGTCTCACCGCTGTACTTCCAGCACACCTGACACAAGTCTCCCCTCAAACCCACCTGAGTCACGGCCCTCCCGGCAGACCGCCCCCCCGCCAGCTGGGTCGCCAGCTGCACGGTCTCCGGTCTCCCGCTCCCGGCCGTGTCTTCAGTCGAAGGCACCACGCGGATCTCCAGGTCCGGAAGCTCAAAGACCTTCACCAAATGCAGGACCTCTCGCACGACCTGAACGACTCGGGTCGACCGGGGGGGGTCTCGGGTCGATCCGACCGCGGGCGGGTCGACCGCAGGTCCGTCCGTGGGGCCAGGTGACTCCATCCCGAGTCATCCCCGAGTCATGTCCCACACGGAACGTCCGTCGACCTGAGTCCGGGGCCCTGCGACACGAGCTGCACCCGCGCGTCGCGAAGCGCGTCGCGCAGGTCCACCGGTTCCGGTGCCTGGAAGTCGATCTCGAAGGCCCCGCCTGGCGCTGATTGGCTCGAAGGGTCCGCGCCGGGGGGAGAGGTCACCCCGCAGCATGCGGCATCTGGCGGCATCTGGCCACCGGCATCTGTGGGGAAGACGCATTGGAGAAAAAAACAAAAAATCGATGGGGGGTTTCTCCAGAGCTGCCAGAGCCGAGTTCAATACCCTTAGCACCGTGGTGAATACCCTTGGCAGGCCTAGGTTGTAGGCAAAGTCCAAGAGGATCAATACGGCCTGGCAGGTCAAGTGCCCCAAGCACCCACGAATCCCCGAGGACCAAACACCAGATCCACACAAGGCTGGGAATAAGAGTACTATACTACTGTCTAATGACTTAGGCCAACGTGATGCAAGTGACATACCAATCTGGCTACCCCCAGGGCTAAGTCATGTGCCCTGACATATCGAGCAAAAAAAATGTCTGGGTTGGGAAACCTGGTGTCATAGGACCTGTGGATACCTCCTCGACAAAAAATGTAAAAAAACAGCTAAATAATGCTAGATACCACTGCCTGGCACCCTGGTGACACAGTGGTGACATAGGGTGCGACTATGTGTTGCTTCCTTGAATACCTCATACGTATTTCTATGAATATCATGGTTGTGGCCTGATGACATAGGCCTTAAGAGGAAATGCCAATGTTGGATCAATCCTGATGACATAGGCTTTTGGAATTGGCGTGTATGTCCGACAAGTCCTAAGTTACTAGTCAGTAGTATATAGGGCTACTAGGGACTGCGAATGCAAATCGAATAGCAGGCAAGTGGTGTTGATCAAAGTACTCATCACATGAAACTTGAAACATCATAAAACATCAACAAGCGGATCTTTCAAACGTCTCCTTCTTGATTGCAACCACCAAGAACCACCAAGAACCACACCCCAGCGATCCAAGTCACCAGCGAGCGAGAGGTCAGGCGATTCCGTTCCTTCCCACCCCGCCCCGGCGTTCCTCGTGTCATGTCCCCGGCTCGTGTCCACCGGCTCGTGTTTTGCTGGTGATGTCCACAGCTCGTTCGTGTCCACCGGCTCGTGTCAGAAGAAAGCAACCTCGACAGATCGAGTCGATTCGCCTTCGGCTCAGAGACCTCCAAGTCCAGGGCAGGGAGCTGGTCCACGGAGCCAAAGGCCCAGGACTGCTCCCCACCCAGCGACTTCCTGTGGCTGGGGTGAGATGATGTGAGGATGGTGAGGTGTCTCAAATCTGACTCAGGCCTCAGGCAAGCTATACGTTCTCGCGATGTGTCAGGGCGATGTGTGTGGGGAGTGCATTTCATAGGAAGGAATTCGTTCGAACTGGTCGGAACGTGATCGATTTGTTCACTTGTCAGAAGCCCCAACCCACACAGCTCAACGGCACCTGAGAAACTCTTGCATCGGTCCGCTCAAGGAGGCCACAACGGCTTTGTGAGCGGGGAATCGCATCGTCTCAACGACCAAAGCAATGTCGAAGAACTGGCAAGTCCTGGACACGTGGCATCTTAGTCACGTTCAGAAAATGAAAGAAAGAGTGCTGAAACCAAAAAAAAACATCAGAACGTGTGAAACAAAGAAAAGAAAAATAGAATCTATGAAAATCCTGAAGTTCTGAAGTGTTGCTGGGCGGCTGAAAGAGGCCACGCAGGTCCTCGCCCAAGTTCACGGACGGCTGCTCTGGCTTGAGGCGGATCTTCAGCTGCTCCATGCTCTTCCCCGCGCACACCGGGCGAGTCGGCTCCGGCATGACACGCAGGGCGGGCGGTTGCTGGGCACGGACAGCGGCACGGGGGCGTGACTGCAGCCACAACGGCGACAGTGAAACGGACTTTGGGAGTCAAAGGCAAAGGAAATCGGAGAAGGTGGACAACCACCAGCACCTCACAGTCGGGGTGGTTAATGGACACCCCTGAACCTCTAAAAGGCTATCAATAGAAGCCCCTTAAGGGGGTCTTGGAAATTGTATGAAGTTATATGTTGTTGTGTTTTTGCCTGCCATGCATCCATCACTGAGTCTCAGCATCGAGAAGGATGCTTGGGCGCTTGGCTTTTGGATTATATGGTTACCGCTGTGGATAAAAACTGTCCAGGAGTTTTTGGGTTGGATCCATCGAGACGCCACCGGAGCGGCTTACACCCCGCGCCTTCTGCAAGCGAGCGGCTGACGCTCGCGCCTTCTGCGGCCCCCGCGGGTTGAAAAACGCGGAGCGCGACAGCCTTTCGGAGCTCCGGGCCTCCTTGATGTCGGCCAGGCTGTCGTCGTAGCACTCAGCAAAGTCCTGATTGAGCTTAGCACGGGCCCCTTGAGGGGTTCACCCGTGCGCACGTCGCCGTGAAGTGAAGTGAAGTCCCTTCAAGTCCATCAACCCTTTAGGGTTTTTCCAGTTACACATGTTACACGACCATGTTGCAGGAAGCCCAGGAACCAGTTACACCACCTCTGCATACGCAAACGGAAGACACCTTGAACAAATCGCCTGCATCTTGCTGCGCAGGACAGCCATTTCTGTCACGTATTGCTGCTGCTCCTCAGAGATGTTCGTGAAAAGCTGATTCGAACATTCGATCTACAACAGTGGGCCAACCTCCACTGGAGTCTCAAAACTCAAAACGGGAACGTCCAAATCAAACTATGTGACCTCCCGCATGTTCCGAAGTCAAGTTGAACATGATTGAGGCCAAGTCCACGCTTCTCTCGATGGCCAAGTCCACGCGTCGTGTGCCAATCACAGAATCAACAAACGGACATGCAGCAAATGCGGCAATCCACCAAGAATCAACAAACACCTAGTTACCGCATCCGAGTAGCCTACACCCTACACCCCCAAAAAACAACACAGTGGCTTCCGCCTGCATGCTGAGATCTCACAATCACCCCTCACCCCCGTCCACCAGACCCTCACCAGACCCACCCGCTCATCCCCGCTCCTGCACCTGCTGTGCCAACTCTCCGCGCAGCAGCGCCAAGCCCTTGGGCGAGGCCGAGCGCTCGGCCTCCAGGCGCTCGGCCAGGCTACCCATCCGCTGGAGCCTCGAGGCGGAGGCACGGCGGAGCACGGCCGAAGTCGCGGCACGCCAAACGGCGTGGTCCACGGAACGAAGCAAAGCCGTCTCTTCTGATTTACATTGCATGTTTTAAGGGATAGAGATGGGTAGAGTGACGTCTACCTACTATGCAGTCCTGGGTTCCACAAAGTGGAGGGGAGCCTTGATTTCGAGGCCAAGGTAAGCACACGCAGCATCACTGAGTCAGCAGCTGTCCATCCACGCGAACACGAAGGCCGGCAACCGCAGAAGAGAGGTCCTACAATGAAACTGGCTTGAAGGATTGACTCCATGTGGGGGTGAGGTGGATTCAGTGGATGAGCTACCAGCAGACTGGAACCAGCTACATCAGGCTCCGAAACTTGGAAAGAAAACGTCCGAAACCCCTCATCACCTCATCCATTAGATACTGTATCCCAAATCCCAACACGCACGTCTTAGCTTCAAAGCCGCTTCCGACCCACCCACCACTCTGCTCACCCCGGGGTCCCATTTCCACCGGTTTCCATCGGTTTCCACCTGGATCTGGCCGGAGGTCTTGCGCTCCAAGGCCATCAGTCCACGTTCCGACATGGACTGGCGAGGCCGACGTGGGAGAGGGAAGGACTTTGACTTCAAGGAATCGTCTGAGGTTAAAATTTTGAGAAGAAACAAGGGGGTGCCATCCGTCGCATTTATGGCTTCAAGCGAAAAGGCAGAATGTCGAGGGTGGAAAAATTTCAGTGTGCTGTGCTGTGATGCAAAATTCTGAATGTTAGGTTCGCTGGATAATCCTGGAATTGTTGGTGGCACGAGTTGGCTCACTTCTGGTTCAACCGGAGGGTCAAATCAATTTTGGCAGGGAGGTGCCCATATTTAGTAGCACACGAAGCTCAGCAGGAGCCTTCGCCCAAAAGCATTCCGAAGGTGTTTCCTCTCCCCATTCTCCCCATGTGCCTCATCTTCATCTCCTGAAACGAAGCACAATTGCTGGCGATTGGGCTCTTCCGGCGCAAGGGAGCAGCGAGAGATCCAGTCTGGTTCTTCTCAACAAGTTACACTCCTTCCTGGCTCGTGCATCCAATTGCTGGCAGTGGAATGCGCATGAAAAACACCCTCATCCACCACTCCACAAGGGAAGGGCGACCGCTGTGGCGCATGGAAACCAACACGGGAGACGAAGACGAGTACCCACACAGCCTGTCAGGTTCACCGCTTGGAGACCTTCTTGGACCTGGAGTCGCAGGCCATCCGTGCGAGCCACATCTCCCAAGTCCGTCTCAAAATCAACCAACCGCTGAAGCTGTTGGTCACTACGGCCGCTACAGCACTACTACAAGCTACTACAACCTACTACAAGCTACGACAAGCTACTATTACTATAACTTCTTAGTGGAGGGGACCATCCGTGACGGTGTTCGTGACAGTGGCGTCCAGCCATAATCTCGCCTGCATCTGCAAGGTGGTCAGGGCTGACTCGGAGTAGTCCTGACCCAAAGGATCCCAAAGGTGTGTGTGTGTGTGTGTGTGTTTGTAGACATGACGAGCAGTTTGGTTAGTCAGGTTAGTTCAGTTAGGTTGCTCCCAAACATCAAACTGCCACACCACTGCTCAGAAATATATATGTGGGCTCTCAAGCAGGAGAGGTCGCACGGACCCAACATGTTTAAGAAGCAAACGACAAGCCTTTGAGGATCAAATGCACAGGTTATTGTTCTATTGGCGGTTCTTGCCGATTCAATCTCACGTATTACCAATGCCACTGGCTCGGCAGTCAGACTCTGACTATGAAGTTCCGATTTCGCACAGAGCAAAGTTTCTGCACGGGAGAGACTCTGAGCTACGAAAACGATATCTTAAAAACTGACCCGGGGTTCCCATACAAAAACATCTTAGATTCTGCACAATTCTTTTGTTCGACTCCTTCTCCAGCTCCTCTCCGGTTGCCGCTCCTGGCGCTGCTCCAGCTTCCGCACGCGCGCCTCGAAGTGCTCCGGCAACGCCAAGTTGGACCTCCCACCAACGCTCGCCCGGTCGGGATGGTCGGTCGAGACCAGGGGGCCAGGCATGACGTGATGCTGGGGTCTTCCCACGTCGCCGCGAGGGTAAAGCATTTCTCACTTGAGGGGTACACAATCAACAACTGGACCCCTGCATGATGCAAAATATTAAGGAGGTCTTTATGAAACCAATTATCTTTCACCAATGATCCAGGTTCTACTGGTTCAGTGGGGGTTGCCTCCACAGCAGCGCAACCCACTCGCACCGCACCTGCTTCCACGGTTCGCCATTTCTCCAGCGGCCTTGGTGACAACCAAGGGCAGCCAACACTCTATGCACTGCGAAACAAGACAAGACACTCGAAATTAGATGTCTCTTCCCATGAGAGGTTTGTGTTAGACACAAGAATGGTGCGGAAGTGACCTGCCGAGACTTGGTGCGGTCAACGACTCAGGCAAAACCACCCGCCAAACCTGGGGTCCAACAAGGTCATCGGGACTTCGTTGACTCACGGAGCTAGGGACATGTTCAACGGCATGGCAGGGGGAATCATCCAATACCCCCACACATCCACACATCGTTCTGCATTGAAATAATAAATTTAAGAAAAAAAGTAATATTATATACTATATAAAATATAACTTGGGCAACTAAGTTTTCTTCAACTGAAAACACCTTCGTTTCCAGGAGTGAACATCAATCGTTTCCCCACGACTCAAAACAGTCATCGCAACGCTGGCTTCAATCTAAGGAATGTGGTCAAGCACCAGACGGCAACCGGGTAACACAATGTTTAGGTGATGATATCACAATAGAACTTGGTCAACTCGGATCTGCCCCACGCAGCATCGGATTCGGAGAACGAACCCGGATGCTTTATAGCTTCTAATGGCATGGCTGTTACAAGCCAAAACCTGGGCAGTTCGGCCCAGCTTGTCTACAAGTAAGTAAGTAAGCAACAAGAAGTACAGTTCCCGTCTTTTGCACCCTTTTGGACCGAATCAGCTGTCCCCACGAGCCATTGGCCGTTCCGCATTTTCCGCATGTTCTTTCTTCAGCCCCTCGCGCCACCGGAATCGGGACGCCTGTGCTTGGGCTTGCAAGAAGGTCATTTGTGCTTTTTGGCACTCCAAAGGGCACCCAGCGCGTGAGGCGAAATCTGTCGGTCTGTCAGCTCCAGATGGACCAAAGAACCCGGCAACGGCCCTGGATTTGGCACTCAACAAAACAGCTCTCTTTCACTGGTCATGCTAAGCCCGCAACGATTCGGGTATGCAGCTCCTTCACCCGAGACCAATGCTGAGACCAATGCATGCTTTGTGAAAAAATATACGGCGCCGATGTTTGGGAAATCGTGCGAATCAGCCTACCAAATCGGCATTCAGTGGATTGATCAATTGCTTTTCTCCAGGCAACCACTGTTTTCACCGTTTTTTCGTGTGCCTTTTTTCAATATCCAACACCATTTCTTCACATCTCTTCACTCGCTCCCAGCATACTGTCCATCGCTCCCAGCACCGAGGAACCTCCAGGTTTTGTTCCCAGCGCCGCTGCCGCGCCGCTTGACGCCGCTGCGACTCGTCCCAGGCCGCTTGAGACAGGCGGCCCTGGTGCTCGAGCGCCTGTGGCGGTGAAAGCAGATCCAGCGGTGACCCGGCACTGACGAACAAAGGGAGTCAAAATGGTGAAAACACATGCCATGAAGATGAAAATAGCGATGTTCTGCGGTCTTTGGTGCCATCTCAGCCGGTCTTTGGGGCCATCACACCATCCCGGAAAATCTCAAGAATCCCACGTTCTGTTGACCTTCGGATTCAGGGAATCCGCTGACAGCTCCGTCGCTTTTGCAGCTCAGCGCCAAGCTTGGATTTGCGCGGCAAGCTCATTGAAACGCTTGTCTGTATCCTGGAAAAACCGACTTCCTTCCGGACCCAACTGCACACACAACCCAAAAACATGTGAACACAGCCAGCCGTGTGTTTGGAAGGATTTTAAGGTAAGGAATTCTGACAGCAAGTGAATTCGCCAAGGTGGCTCAGATCCACTCCCCAACCCCTTTGGCCGACACTCCTTTGGCTCGATGCGCCGCTGGTCCAACACATCCAGCCGCTGCCTGTGCGGGGCCGCTCGTTGGTCGGTGTGCGGGTGCCACCAGTGGGGTCTATGCAAGTGATGTTTGGAAACCACCCGAGAATCGTCCAAGCGACGCCAGCCGGGGGAAACCCGGGCCTCAAGCACTGAACATCTTCTAGGAGACCAGTGACCGTCCCCTGGCGAGAGAAGCCAGCCAGCGGTCGATGAGTGGTGCGTTCAATCGACTGACTCATCAAACGGTGTCGAAGTGTGCAACACCGCAAACAGCCCAAGCTCGGCAAGCTAGAATGTTCGATTTTGCCATCTCAACCGGAAATTTTTACGACTATAGTCCCAACAGCGAATAGCTTTCAGAAGGACATCAACATGAACCCCCAAGCTTTAGCATTCAGGGGGTCGGTCAAAGAAACCAAACTAATGCACCATGTAAAAGAAAGTAAAATGGTTTGCATTTTTGCGTCGCGAACCAGCAGAAATCCCAAGCAGATTCGACTCTCACTTGCCGCGTGATTCTAGTCCGGTTCATCCTCCGATTCTGACTGCGGCCGGTTCCCATGCCCACACATTAGAGATTTTCAGGCATGGTCAGCCGATCGAATTGCTTGAACTCGCTTGTTTGCAGGCAGTCTGCCGGCACTTCTCACATTAACACGAGCTCGTCAGTGTGGGGAGTTCTTAGCGATCTTCACAACATGGAGAACATCTCAACACCTCGGAAAACGCACCTTTTCGCGCTGCTTTCCTCGTCTCCTTCACCGCCCTTGTTCCCACACCCTCAAACCGACGAGGAGAGGACGGGTCCCTCGCTGCTTCCTCTCTTCGCATCGAGAAACGACACAGGTGGCTCAGGTGGCTCCTCACTCCGCCTTGCCGGAGGAATAGCGCTTCAGCAGTTTCTTCCAGTGGGTGGCAACAAAGGTGGCATTGACACCAAACCTTGGCCCGGGCAAAACGTCCGTATATCTGCCTGCTAAAGAGACCTGCACCAACCTGCACGTGTATGTAAAAAAGATTGCAAAAAGCTCGAGAAACATTCAACAGTGCGCATGATCCCACTATCAACAACATGCATCCTACATCACTGCATAGTGGGAGGACTGGATGGTCTTTTTAGCCATCTCTTCCCACAATGAGGGAGAAGGTCTTGCCCAAAACCACCAGAACGTGCGCTGAGACACAACAGAACTTGCAAGCTTGCTGCGCAGTAAGGCGCCCAGAAAGGCATGACCAGGGTGCCAGGCCCTTCCCTCAAAACATGCCAGACCTACACGGGAAAATCGAACATCAGAATATATAGACATGATTGATTGAGAATTGGCAATGCATACTCAGGCAATAACATCACTCTTCAACAGGTTCCAGGCCCTCGTAGACTCAGCACCTTCACACTTCAGACACTGGCATCCAACCTGGCCCAAGACCACCAGGCTCCAGTATGCGAAATACAGTCTGCTCAATGTGTAACAAATGACCTCAGTGCAGGTTCCTTGCCCGTAGCTTAGTCCACGTGGGCAGTCCTTCTGAGAAAGGATGGAAGAAGAGCGTTTCTTGATTCTTCACCATGTCCTGCAACAAACCTTCCAGCTAGTACAGTAGTCTGACTTTCGCCCCAAGTCCCGACAGCAATCCTTCCTTGAACAAGTGAAGTGTGGGAAATTGAGACAATGCAACCTACACTCAAAATAGAATGCGCCCGCTCATCAGCCGAGGAACAAACGCCAAGTACAAGCTATCAGACCTCTTGATGAGATACGCAGAATACATCAATGAACCCACCTGGTCGAGCTTGGCGAATCGAGCACAACGGGGTTCTTCTTTCACTTTTCCAGGAGTCAAGGGAAACCTCTGGTTCTTCCCCAATGGTGGTGCCCCCGGTGTTTTGGGCCGTCCTCCCCCTCAGAGAATGACGGGTTTCACCTCAGTGATCCAGGTGTTCACCGCATTGGCCAAGCCGAAGACGTTCGCCAACTCAGAGGTGGCATAGCCCGCCATGGCGATGAGGTGATGTTCCAGGAACTTCTGATCCCACACCTGAGCACTGATGGCAGGATGGGCCAGTGATGGGCCAAAGAATCAAAAAAGTGATTGGAATCAATGACGACTATCACTCTTCAGTTGGAAAACTGATTCAATTACCGATTCTAATATGGTTGTCTTTTCGTAAAACACAAATATATACATAATATATCAAAAATATCTAAAGTATATTACTCTATTTTGTATTATATCAATATTACATTACAAGGGCTCAGAACACGCTATTAGCAGCGACTGCTTAGCCCCAGAGAAGTCGACATTAGGTCGATAGCTCGTCCTTTCTTTGCGGTGCCGCAAAAGAGCCATTTTCTTCATCCTGCAGGGACGTCGATCAGGTTCACCAAGCTGGCATCGCAAGAGGCGCAAGAAGAGGTCATCTTTGAGATCTCAAGCGCGCCACAGCTGGATCCCTAGTAAGGTTTTTCTCCAGAGACTGAAGAGTCATCACTCATTCAGAAAATACAGAATGAGCAAATGGATCTGTTCATGTGGGTTTTCCAACCGCCCCAATGTAGAGTTTTGCAAGGGTTGCAACCTCCATTGGAGTTCCCCCGATTCAAAGAAGGGAAAGTCCAAATCAGGGGTGGTTTCAGCTGCAAAACAACCATCGTTGCAGCCTTCGTCCTTGCAGTCTGTCTTGCATACACTTGGTGGCCAGGACCAAGTCTCGAGTTCCAAGCTAGTTGCATGGTCCCCTGCCGAGTCAGTCCAACATGGTCCAACTGTCCAGCTTATGCATTCGTCGAAGCATCAGCAAGCAGCAGCCCTAGCCCATACAGCAGCAGCAACAGCAACCATGACAACCACAGGGCATGCGACAGCATCGACAGGAAGTCAGCAAGCAGGGCATTTGAACACACAAGCCCATGTTTCGACCTCAGGACAGTCTGCATTGGCTCTACAAATACAAGCTCTTGCACAAAAGCTTCAGCACACGTGCATTGTCCAACAATGCGACCTCGCTACAGCATGTCAAACCATGGCAGCGGAACAGGTCCCAGCAAAGTCGCTTCAGGCCAAGTTACACGCCGAAGCCAATCGTTTAGGCAAAGCAGAGAAGAGAGTCAAAAAGTTAGAAGAAATTTTGGATACTTCCAACCAAGCCTGGCAGACACACCTCCAAACCGAACGTGCAAAGCTCCTTGCAGCACAAGCCAGCTATCAGCATACTGTTCATTTGGCACAACAAGAGTTGAAGCAGGCCAAAGAAGAGGTTGTGTCGATCAAGGCCGAGATTGCTCAGATTTTTGGTCCCAGTGCAGCTCAAGTGATGATTCCAGCCACCATGCCAATGGATGTAGAAGGAATCTACAGCAGCCCTTGTATGCCAGCCATGCAGCCACATGGGCACACTTTACCAGTTGCACCCAACATCCATACTGCCCAAAATCATCCACAGCCTCCTTTTCCAGCCAATACGCTTACTGTGGAACAAGCCCTGACAGGTTTGGGCAATGTTGCAACCGCAGAGCCCCCTTTGGTCCCATCCCTGCAGCCAGCACAGATACCAGCTCAGCCCTGTCGACCAATCACACCATGGGCTTATGCAGCGTGCCAAGCACCACAGGCAGAGCAACCACAGCCTCCGCCACCACAGCTTCCTGGGCCGCAATATCTGGCTGGCATTGCACCTCCAGGGTCGTGCCCACACTCAGTGTTGCCTGCATCATCGCATCTTGCACAGACCAAGGATCAGATTGGACAACAGCCACTGGCAGCATTGCCAATTGCTACTCAGTCCATGGCCAAATCATCCGACAATCCAGTCTCGCCACAGACAATGAAAGCGAGTCCTGCTATTTCGCCAGCATCGCCAGCACCAGCCAGCCCACCAATTTTTGGGCCCGTTACTCCGCCCCCAGGCCGATGGTCAAGTGGCTCAGAACAGAAATCACAAGCAGGAGACATTTCGTCGCCAGCACAGCCGATCACTCCATTCACCAACGCCTGGCCTGGCACACCAGATACACCTGGCACACAAGCCGCTTTACTGAAAGCAGTACAACAGGCAGAACAAGAGCTTCAGCCATCACAGCCAGCTTTACCTGTGCCTGGTTTAAATACGATTGCACAGCCTCTTTCAGTCGAGCCCCAGGCAACAGCTCCAGATCAATCGGCTCTACTAGCACAAGCACCTGGCACTATGACGGAACCCTGCCCGATTACAGCATCCAGCCCTACACAACAAGCAGCTGCCCTTCCCACATCGGAACCAATGCATTCAGCAAACCAACAGATTGCATCAGGGCAAACCGAGCCACAGGAGACAGATGCTCAGATGACTCTGTGGTACAGGCAGGTTTTGTCTGCCCTGCAATACCAACAGTTTCAACAGCAGCAGATACAACAATGGATCCAGCAACAAGCTATGACATCGCAGAACGAGCAATCACAAGCAGTCGCAGCTTCAGACGATGGCGCTGCAAGTCCAACGCCTGCTACAGCCCATGTGGATGTAGGTGGTCTCCCGCAATTGCCACCTCCAGCCACTCCCGAGAGGCCAGTTTCCATTGCATCATCCTCTCCAGGCACTGCCCTTCAGCGACTAGAGACCGCCATGTCACCGGGTCCAGCCATCTTCAATCCGGCTGTCCCTACAGTGCCCGAGAACCTCGCACCATGTTATGCCACAGGCGATCCTGCCGGATTGACTACACCAATCGAGCTCAGCCGAGTTCCCAAGTTGCAAAAAATGCATTCAGGAAGTGTGCACGAACAGCATCAGCAAGGAATTGTCCGTCCAATGCAAGCGGTGGGTGTTGTCCCAGTCCAAGTGCATTCGGAAGACGAGAACGGTTCAAACGTGCCCACCGAAGTCGCCTCCCAAGAAGACCCGGAGGAACAGGGGTAGATGTTGGGGCCACTGTGGGCCCGTCCACAGTGGCCTGGAATGCTTTGCCTTTGCCTTTCGTTGGTCCCCTTAGTCGGCAATCCCATGGGTCCGGTGATTCCGATTTGGGCCGTTTTCCAGATACTGCTGTTTTTCAAGATAGCTATGGGGAATCTCCTGTACATTGCGCCAGCAATTTTCCCTTTTCGTTGAATGGCAATCAGGAGTCCCAGAATGGTGAACCAGTTTTTGCAAGTCGCACTACTCTTTGTTTGGATAGTCTCATAGTGCCTAGTAGTGCCCAGTCTT